CCCCCCCCCCCCCCCCCACCCCCCCCCCCCCCCCCCCCCCCCCCCCCCCCCCCCCGCCCCCCCCCCCCCCCCCCCCCCCCCCCCCCCCCCCCCCCCCCCCCCCTTAATAGATCTTTTCATTATTATCAAAATGTATAACAAAAAAAATTTACAAATCCAAAACGACCAACAATCATTTTTTCTTTTTTTTCTTTGACTTTTTCTTTGCTGATTTTCCACCCTTCTTCTTTTTTCCAGCCTTTTTCTTCTTCTCATATGGTTCACCCTTTGGCACATCATCATCCTCATTTTCGTCATCATTACTTATATTGCCTTTCTCATATTTTTCTAATGTTGCGTATAAATCTTCATTTACCAGTGTATAATCGATTGGTTTCAATTTTGTAAAAAATGTTTCATTGTTCATGTTAGCCTGATTTCGACATAAAAGTTTGATTATCTAAATATAGACACACTGATCTTCTTAAAATTTTTATTCTAGTATTGTGACAATAATAACTCACTGATGCGTATTGAAATTCAACTGCATAGTGAAGCGCAGTCTTTCCTCCATCGTCTGTAAAATTGACATTAGCATTTTTTTCAAGTAAAACGGCTACAATATCTTGTCGTCCATATTTAGCAGCCTAAAAGACCATATTCCTTATGTCCGTGTTGAAGAAAGATACTGATTAATAAGCAGTTCTTTCTAAAACAACTTTTGGCAAAAAAGGATATCAAATTTGCTTTGAAACTCAAAATATATGTAGTATCAGCTTCAGAGTTACATAATTCGTATTACTGACTGATCTTGGTTTTTTAGTGATTAAATTATTAATAATAACTAACAATCATTAATGGTGTTTGACGCCGTTCATTCATTGTATTAACATCGATACGATTACGAAGAAGTTTGAGTACGACTGCGCTTTGTCCTTTTTCGATCGCTTCAAACAAAAGAGAAGCCATCTAAAAAATGAAATAACTTCATTTTGTTTACAAAAATTTTATGTTAGCTATACGTTATCAAATCTTTTTCTTATATCTCATTGAAACTAAAAATGGTTATAAGAGCTAGAAAACAAGAAACACGATAAGTAATCTATTTTTTGTCTAATGAATGAACTTCATTCAATGAAGTTTTTTTACTCAAGAACTATTTCTTAAACGTATTATATTTCGCAGAGAAGAAAAGGGAAAATATTTTGGGATTAGATATATTTTATTTTTCTTGTCTACGTATGCGGAAATATCGTATAGTATAGAAAAGAAAAAAACAATAATATTTAACAGAAACGCAATAATGTGGAACAGAAAACAAGAAAAGTTTTTGCACAGTTTTTGAAACATACAAGTAAATTTTAAACGATAAAATAATTGAAATAGAAGAAAAAAGAAAATATATAATTAATCACAGTTTGCTTTGGTGTTTATGACGCACGAATCTCGATCAACTAACAGGTCGAAAAACAACATTAATTAATTAAGTATTCACAAATGTTTTATAACAAGGAATATTTTAGCAAAACAAGCAAAGTTAACAAAAAATCTGTTCAACACAACAATAAAAAGAAAAAAAAAGTGGCACAATAAATTAACAAAGGGTTCAATCATAACAAAATATCAATTGCCACTGTCATGTTGCAATAGTAGAGGGATAAAACCAAAAAATTACAGATCAACTTAAGGATGAAATGATATACATATGCCACGATATATAGAGAAAGAAGATTCTTCTAATTGATCATTCTTCACCAATTCTAAATTTAGAACATAGTGAAATTTATCTAAACCATTTTTCGAAACTAAAATGAGAGATTAATACCTTTGCACAAAGATTACATGAAAGTTTAATAAACACCATTACTAAACTGAGAATCATCACGAGGTGTCAATACATAAACTTCTTGATGATTAGCACTACGACATACTTTTGGACCGTTCCGACGAGGACTCTAAACAAGTAAAAAATGAAAGATTAGATGTGATTAATCATTTTATGATGTTATACTTACGTGATTGATTGACTGCTCTTCGATTGCTAACGATTCATTTTTATCTGCACGGCGAGAATACATATCTTTATGACCATAATTATTACCAGCAGGTAAATCACGATGATTTTGAGGAACGTTATTTATTGGATTGATTTTTTTCTATCGAAATAAAAAGGAAAAGATATAAAATGTATCTTATTTTGAGATAAAATCATACTCTATTTGAACAAATTTGACCCATGGTGAATTGTTGTTGTGATGTTGTGGATTTCTCAGAAGAATTATTGGCTATTTTATTAAAACTGAGCATCGTGTTATCAACACGCTTTCGCATGATATAATCGTATGTTGACATGTTGTTAAAACCTGAAGAAGATGATTACAATACACCATTTAATAATCTTACAGTTTTATTACTTACATAAATAGATATGGAAACCTAATAAATAAATGGTTAATGCAAATGTAGTAAAAGCGATTGTCGCTACAATTGCACAAATGATTTGAAAAGCAATTAAAGATGATGGTATCATTAATATGGCATATTTTTTATCTAAATAAAAAACATATTTTAAGTTTTTATCTACGAATTGAAATGTTTAGTCGTGTTACCTGCGCTGTAAAAAGGTTGTAAATTCAATAACGAATTTGTATTGAATGAACCGGCAAATTGCAATAACGAATTTAAAAAAATAAATAATGTACCAATAACAATTGTGATAAGCATAGTCAAAAATAATCTATAGTTTTTGCCTCCAACACAGTTATTTAGCCTATTAATTAAACAAAAAACAAATATTAAGATTTATTCTGAGAATCATATAGGTTCTTACCAGATACAATGATGGTCAAATTGATATACACATTTATTACATATAGAACAATGTTTTGCTTTTTCTCCTCTATGAATAAAAAACAACAACAGAAAGATAAATTTAATCAATTTAAATCATGTAGAGAGTTGAGTTCATATATGACCAAAAATTAAAACTCAAGAAAATTGTTGAAATTGACACGCTTACACGTTAACGTTGCAAATATGACAATATAAATCTGTAATAACATGTGGATAAATTTGTCGGTTGAAATCTGTTCGTGGTCCACGACTTTTTGTGATAACGTTGTCTTCGGCTGGATCGATACATGTGACAATAATAAATAGAATAAAAACTGGAATGATTAATATGCTTGAAATCTGCGAATGGATGTCAAGGATGACGAACAATTCAAAAACTAGAGAGTATTTAAAAATCTGTATTTATTTCAAAAGGATACCACAATACTTAATTCTCTCCATGGACTTATTATGTTCACGCATAGTGTTAGATAATTCATTACAATGAGAAAAAAAATGACCACAAACGCCAGTAGTTGAACGAGATGCAGAGGATACGTACATCCGTTTTTTCTTCGAACTGACGGCTGTATTGCCATCCATTCACTCACTTAATGGGAAAAATAATCTAAATGAATATAAAAGCATTTTACAAATAACTATTTGTCTTATGCGTATAATTCAATCGACCAAACCAATAGATCATGAGTTACAATGAAATTAACGTAGCAGTACAAACAGAGTACAACTTTTTGCATCATGGTATAAAGTTACTTCTCAATATATGAATATTATACATAGCACATATACGACTGTCTTTTTGAGTTTATTATCAAAACTGACTATTTTTGTTCTCTTTCATAGTGAATTTTTATTCCTCGCTCAATATGCCTTAAACGACAAAATAGAGTAACAAGGCCACTGTAGCGGGTGTACTATAAATAATGTAAGTCTCGGTATTTTTGCTCTAACTCCGGTTCCTCAGGGTTCTCAGAGATTATTTTCTTTTTAATAGATCCCGTAAAATTCTCTACAAAATCATACCTAAACTAAAACTAAATTTCAGAACTTCAATCAAGAAAACTAAGCAAATTATACGAAAGACGAAAAAAATGAAAACTTTGTAAATTTAAAAACGATTTCTTGTATTAACATTTTGAAAGTAAGAAAAACTGAATTAGACATTTTGTAGTCCTGCTCTGGCTCTATCCTTCAGCTACACTTCAGACTTATTTCACATCAAAACCCACGGCGAAATATTCTGCCAGTTTGAAAGCTCATGCTTTACGAAAGTATATCAGTTTGTGTTCAGATTATCTCTCACTATTAATAATCGGCTTTTCCTTCCAGCTACACAGCCATAAATCATGATCACTTAGACAGTTGGCATGGTGCCTTAAGGTGCTTATTTATCGCTTAAGAGTTCAAATCAGCCCAACCATGCGTGCAACATTTAGGTTTTATTAGCATACAATTAGCATATGAATAAATATAAACAAATGAAGAAAGGTGACGCTAGTATACACTCATAATAACCACCGGGATGTAAATCAAGTCTATTACATGATTCTCAAAATAGAGGAAGAAAATTGCAAAAATTCTTATCCGAACGTATAAGACAGTGAATTTTTTTACTTTTTTTAAGCAATTTTTTAAAACTTTCATTTTTTGATTCTCAACCAAAATTTTATTTTATTCTGTTGGCTTTTCTAACTTATCGGTTCCTTCACTTTAGGAACTTACGAACGACCTTCTATGACATTGAATCCAAGACAACGCTCACACCTCCATTTCATGGCTGGTTCGAGCGCGACGAGGACGTAGGCATCCTACCTCCAACAATAGAAATCTTTTGTTTTATCACAAAATTCACAATTTACTATGCTATCACAGAAAAAACACTTTCACTACGCGATCACAACAAAAAATTTATCGTTTTATACTCCCCTAAAAATTCCTCAGGACTCTCTGCAGGTCTATTGGTCCCATCTTTTTTAGTTTCAAACAAATCATCAGTAATTATGGACCGGGTACCATCGCTGGTACTAGTGTAGCCTATATCAGCCAACAAAGGTTGACACATTAGTGATGACTTACTAGAAGAAAATTCGTAAAATTTTATCATAAAACCATATTATATTTATATATCGTAGTGATGGGCCGAAATACTATGAAATGAAAAGAAACGAACAAATTGTGTAATTTCCTGTTCTTTTTCGTACGGCTATACGATTATATCTTTTCTTTCGTTTGTGAGATGGTATATTCGTTATTTCGTAGAGAAAACGAAAGAAAATTGCGTACTTCTTTCGTTATAGTCGTCAGAGAATTTCTCTTTCCTCCTTTCGTTTCTGACATACCTCTCACTAATATATTGTCTATCTGCAAAACAAAAGGTGGATGAGGAGTCGGCACTTGCTGGAACTCCCAGGAAGTCCCTATAGGCATTACATATTTTGTATACATTTTGGGGACTCCCCAGTGAGTTTGAGGGTGACTCTCTGGAGTCCTCGGGATTAGCCATTTTTCGGGGACCTCCGGGCTTTTCTTGGGGAGAGTCAACTAGAGCATCTATGTAAAAGATGTTATCAATTTTTCTGATCTAATGTGTAAGCTTCGTAACCTAATATAAATCTAAAAAGTTTTTTGAAGACCCTCAAAAGATCGCCAGAGTTCTAAAAATAATCCTAAATTCAACACAATCCCAGGATAGGTGAGAAATGTAAGCAATTTAAAACTGTTTGCTACACCGTCTGTGATATTTGTGCTACACGCTGTATTTTTCTGTTGAGCGAATTTATTTTAACCGTTCTTCTCAAGGTATTGGCATGAACTTCAGAGTAACTTTAGGAAAAAATAAAGAACTGGAAGAACTCTACAAAACCAGATCTAAGGGACTTCTTGGAAATCCATGACTCGGGCGCTATAGACGTTTTTCCAGAAGCCTTAACACTCCGCTGTCGTTAGCTTTTACACTTACACACTAGGAAAATAAATGATCGGCCAATCGACCGCTCCGGTCGGGTCAGAAATTTTGAATATACTGTGATTACTTACTATTGAGTGAAAGAAAAATTTTATACATAACTTTTTACCCAAATTACGCAGCATTTAATTGAATCAACTCAAGGTATTAACATGAACTTCAGACCAATTTTAGGAAAGAATAAAGAACTGGGAGAAGTTTATTTAGAAGTCGTTGCGCAATACGTTTGATTGTTCGACTGTATAAAATATACGTGTGTAAGAGTTTCATAATACTGATGTTATGCAAACGCTGCAAGCGTATCTTATGCATGTTGTAGAAGATAACTGACGAAGTAGCAGCGTAAAGATATGAGTAACTGCATGAAGCAAATAGGAAACAGATGTTAAGACCTGGATATGGTACAGTAAAAAATCTGAATATCGTAAGTGTTTGATAGCTCAAGTCTCTCTATCATCTCAGCCTCGGAATAATGTACCAGCTGTAATCTGTGGGGATGATCTATTCCCTATTTGTCATCAGCTTAATGCAATCATTTTTTTCCTAGTGTGTAAGTGTAAAAGCTAACGATAGCGGAGTGTTAAGGCTTCTGGAAAAACGTCCATAGCTCTCGAACCATGGATTTCCAAGATGTCCCTTCGATCTAGTTTTGTAAAGGACACTTCAGACTATATATGTATGAAAACAAATCCATAGATTTCTATATCAGCTTTCAGAGAACCGAACTGGTTTTCCACAAGTGTCCTGCAAAAACGATCTCTGAAATTTTTCCAAACTCGTTTTTGCTTATGGAAGCATAGACTCAGATCTTGATCTTGGGTAGCGAATGATGAAAGCCACAAGTTTCTATCTTTTATTCCTCTTGAGTTATTCAAAAAATAACCACCGGCCTTGTATTTTAGCGCCGATAATAGTGCAACAAACATTAAAAAAGAAAGAAAAACATGAGGAAAGAAAATATTCGCATAGTAGAGATTACCAGTCCTGCTCTCAAAGACTGTTGACAAAAAAGAGGAAATGGCAGGGGAGCATGTCTTTCTAAAGCAGAGTACAAGTCTACAAAAATATTTCAAATAGATTTTCGAGTGTGCTCATTCCAGTGGCACTGCTTTCAAAGTCCAAAAACGGTTTTTAAAAGGTTTTTTAAAGATCAAGCCTCTGGAGAACCTCTTAATACCAATTGAAAGCAGTGCCACTGGAATGAGCACACTCGAAAACCTATTATTATTATACCTATACTATTTGAAATATTTTATAGGCTTCAGCCTGATGTTACAACTGAGTCCGAATATGCAGTAGAAAACTTCGTGAACAATGTCTTCAACCGCAAGATTTTGTAAAATCTGTCACTTTTGGGTCCAAAACCTCTCTTATTGTACATCAGTCGATGTAGGTTTTTGCGCTGATTTCGAAAATGCTATTTTTATCAAATTTTAAAACATTTTAGCCAAGAAAAATAGAAAATACTTGCGGTATCGGTTACATCTCTGGGATGAAGAATATGATTTGGATATTGTTATGGAGGCTGTTTTATCGCTGAAACAAATAGAATTTATATTCGTTGATTAAGAAGATTTCATTTTAAGAAAAAACTAGCAACACAGTACAGTATACACAGTATTTTTCTATTTTTCACAGCGAAGAATAGGTGTATGCTAATCTTTTCACCATCAAATTTAAATTTTGTATCAAAACCAACATCATATTTTAAATCAGCGTTAAAACCTACATTGAACAATCCGTGTTTGGCGATTTTTACTCAACTTTGATTTTTTCCAAAAAAATAACATTGTTCCCGGGAAAAATAGAAAGATGGTCATAACTTCTGAACGAAGGGCCGTCGGCACAAATTATTTTTAGCTTCTTACAACCTGGCTAAAAGCGAGTTTAAAGTCTGTGTGAGCGT